TCCTCCTCTTTTACAAAAATCAACCATGTCTTTTGTCCCCTCTCTCCCTCCAGCTTGCAAAATAATGCTTTGGGGACAAGAAAAGAAAGAGCAAAGGTATAAAAAGACAATAAAAAATTTAAAAAGTAAAAAGAAACTTAAGGTTTGGTTTGCAGCTGCTCCATAAAGGAGGAGTTCTTAAGTCAATCAAAGAGGGAGACTTGTTCTCCATCCCCTTTTCCCCCCTCCTTCTCTTCTTTAAGCTTGTTTCTGGGCCTTTTCTTTCATCTAGAGCAAAATCCTGACAGTGTGCCATGCACTTGCGAAAGGATAATTACATCTGTATCCCTGGGAGAGACAGGTCTGCTGTCAGCAGGGAGGAGTCTGATGATGTTGCAAATGGAGCTAAGTGCTCGCATATGCATAAACACTGACTGCTCCTGAATTAAATCAGGGAGTAGAAATGTCTTTGACCAAAACTTTCCTGGAACTTTTGCTTCAGGTCAGAGAAAAATGAAAAATAAAATAATAATAAGCTTATCAATCTGCCCAGAAATGTTCTGTTCTAAAGGAGGAGAAATGACTAAAAGCCTTTTAAGGGAAGAATGCTGTGTCTTTGGGGTAGCCTAGAACTTAGAGGCAGGCTGAACCAAGGCTGGGGCTTAATGGATACTGCAGAGTATTCCCAGAGCTTGAGAAAAAGTTGAATCCACAAGAGAGCCAGGAAAGATTATCAGGCAGTGTTTCCATTACCTATTTCAACCTCAGGTTGAAGGAGGAAAAATCCTGCCTTACTTCATGGGCACTGAGCAAGCCCCCAAACTCTAGACTAGGGAGGAAGAGAAGTACAACATAATTTATGTTTAAATGTAAATTCAGGATTTTCAATTTCCTAAGGACTTCTTTTTGAAATGTAAATGTGTTTTATAACACCATAAGGAAGATGCTATAAGAAAATATGATAGTACTAGATGCTTAGCTATTAGAGATGGGAGGTCCTCAAGATTGCTTTCAGGCCCAACGGGGACTCATCTTCCTCATCACGCTCACACCAAGAACAGGTGAAAGGCTCTGTTTTATTTTGACAAGAATAAGGGCAAAAGGGAGAATAGGAAGTTGATGCATGGGAAAGAGGGCTGTTCGGCCACCTCTTCCCTCAAAATTAGACTCAAGGGAAGCAATTAGAAGAAGTTGCTAATGAGGTGACAGGATGGAAGATCTATAAATCTGGACAAGCCATCGTGTTGTAGTAGACCTTAGCTACAAGCCAAGATCAAATCTGAGGCAGTCAGATTTCAGCATAACAGAGAGAAGAGCTTTTTAACCAGCGGGGTGGATTTAAAAAAACAAAACAAAACAAACAGAAACTCATAGAGTTGCCTACGAATATGCTGAAATCCTCTTCACTGGATAGATTCAAGCAGTATCCTCTCTCTCTCTTAGTGATTTCGCTTTGAGTTGAATGTTCCATGCTATATGATATAGTCTAATTTTAAAATGATTTAGTTTATATAGGTAAAAATTTAACCAAAAGATTCTGAATAAGAAGTGTTTAACATAATGTGCCTTAAAATGATTTTATGGGGGCCAGGTGGTGGCACAGTGGTGATGCAACTGCACCCACATCGGAGAGTCCTGGGTTATGACTCAGGATCACCTGTGCACATTGGGCATCCTGCATGCCCATGATCCAGGCTTGCTGAGACTGGGGTAGGGCATAGTATGAAAACCCTATTGTGGTGGCTGTCTCAGTTTCTCTCTCTTTGTCCATTTCTGAAGAAAAAAATAAATGAACTTAAAAAAAAAAATTGTGATTGAAGGGGCCAGCAGGTGATATGGTGGTTAGAGTACTAGACTCCCACATGGCCAACCGCAGTTTGAGTCCTAGACCTGGTACCTTGCTTTCTCACTCTCTTCCCCACCCCCCTCACCCCACCCCGGTCAAATTAAAACTTTAATTAATTAATTATTTTAGAAAGTGATCATAGAGGACCAACCAGTGGCATGATGGTTAAGTGGGGCTAAATCCCACATGGTCAACTGCATGGTTCCAGTCCCAGACCTGGCAGTTTGAAAAATACACCAGGCGTATGTGAATGTGTGCCCACAATCCTGAGAGGAGAATAGAGGAGAACAGACTGTGGTGTGACCATTCCCCAGTGAATACTATCTCACTTTCTCTTTCTTCAGTGAGCACACTAGCAAATTAAAAATAACAATAATAATATAAAAATGACAATAAACATTTTGTTCCTGTTTTCCAAATAACACCAAGGATTCAAACTATTTTCCCTCTTCTGTATGACTGCTATGACAGGGTCTTCAAATATGAGTCCCAGTTGGGCCTGAAATAGAAAATGAATATCATAGAGACCAGCAGATAGCATAATGGTTATGTCACTGTACTTTCACATAGTCGACTGCAATTTGAGTCTCTGACCCTGTGGCTTAAAATTAATTCCAGATGTATATGTGTTTGTGTCCAAAATCCTGAGAGGAGAATGGAGAAGGAATTGTGGTGTAGTCAGCCCCCCCAGGGTATAATTTCTCACCTTCTGTCTCTGTCTCTCTGGTGAGCACACATATCCTATAGCAAATAAAAAACGCTACAAAAAAAATTTTAAAAAGAAAATGCCTATTATAAAAAGACTTATGTGGATTCCAAAAAATTTATGCACCAAAATAAAGTCATACTTGATTCCATTTTCCGCAAACTTTTTGAAGTCCCGTTGTGCTTCCTACTCCTGGGGTTTCTGACCTCCAGATGATTAAAAGCAGCATCAGATTTATCTGTCCATACTCTGAAAATAAACAAATGGAACTTCCATATTTGGGGATTTTTGACCCCTGTTGTTTATGATGGAAACACAGGCAGCATGAACCCAAACTAACAAGGGTGAGGAAAAGATTCCAGAATCCTACTATGGACACATTTTTGGAACCTTTTTATTTTTCTTTTTAATGACTAAGGATAGATCTAATCAATTCTCCTCTCACCCTCAAATCCCATCTTCCTCTTAACTAGCTGAGATTTCCTTTTCCGGGAAGACTTTAATGTATAGACCAGAAATCAGAGGCAGAGTCAAATGGAAACTAGTAATGATTACAGTTCATTCTGGTTATGAGTAAACCTCACACATCTCAGGGAAATTCAGTTTCTACCTACTGTATTACTGTATTCCAGGCTGTAGAATAGACTCTTCCTTTATCAATTTATTTACTTACTATGATTTCTAGTTTACATATATTTGATGTGTATCTTTGTAGGGGACAGTGATTTTTTTAAAGAATACATAGGGTGTATAACAATCAAATCAAGGATATGTACATAGTCATCTTCTTCAATATTGAACATTATTTTATGTTGTGCACATTTATCAATACTTCTACTAGTCTTTCTTTGAAATATGTGTACATCATCCTTACTTGTACTCTGCTGTGACGCACCATCCCACAG